TGAAAGAACCTCAATATGCAGCAATGGAAAAATAAAATATAATTCATACAAATGACATATTATGCCATTACAAAAAGCATGTTATTAAAGAATGATGAAAGAAGCAAAACCTCCACTTGGTAATAAATAATCACATATACTTGAGAAAAGAGACACTAGGGAAAAATACAGAAAAATGATAGTGATAAAATCTGAATTGCTTTATTTTCTTCTTTATACTTTATTTTCCAAATTTACAACAATACACATTACTTTTATAATCAAGTAAAGAAAATCTACACATTAACGTTCTTCTTTCTCTTCTTCTGCCCCACCCAGGAAAGGCTACTAACTCTTTAGTAATAGTACTACACAAAAAGAAGGAATAGGCTCTTAAAACTATCAATCCCTGACCTTATACCTTAAATTGAAAATTTCACATAAAATTCCAGATACAAATAAAATGTAGAACTGAGACTATTTTATAAGTTCTATATTTATAAGACATAAGAATCACACAATATAGGCTGTCCCCAGTATAGAAAAAATCTAAACTTACAAGTGACTTTCAACCCTGACTCAATATGCTGCTGAAGGCCCCACAGGTATAGGAACATTTTATTTTTAATAAAAATAACCTGAAAGGTCAATTCTCTTTCTTTAAGTGAAAAAAAGACACATAGTTTATAATTGCTAAGAACAGACTCCTTAGCAAAGTTTTCTTACACACTGCCACAAGCATTTACTATAGAATATTGTTGTCTTGATTTTTAAGAAAATTCCAAATTGAAGTGCTCAAATTTCCTCACTGTGCAAAACACTAATATTGAAAGTATTATAGCTAAACTAATTTATGCTTAATAATTATAATACAGATTTTTGGTTGCCCAGGATATCATGTTAATTTTAAGTACGAAAATACTTTGTTGGAGTGATATTATCATTTTAGCATTTCATTTTCTTTAAATCTGAATACTGAAATATTTACATCTTGAGATGGAGATCAGTGACTCAAGTTTTTATTTTATGCTGCATACAACTGCAAAACAAAAAGCTTTCTCTACCCAGAGAATTGTAAACTGCATTAAAATTTTTAGTTTGAAGTGAATATAATTGCACTCATCTAGAAGTGTTTTTCCTTAAGTTTATAATCCACAGTGGAAGGATGAAAATAACAAAGCAAAGCTGCTGTTGCAAAATAATTCAGACTCTAGTTCAAAGAATTATTAAAAACCAAACAAAAAGGCTCAAAGATTCCCTCAAAGCTATTAAAAATAGATGGGACTGCAGGAAGATTGAAGAAGAGTTAGGAGAAAAATTCAGAATTTGTTTTTCCCTGTCCATTCCCCCAATCCCCCAATTCATTCAGAAAAAGCTTCTTCAGCATCTAAGTTTTTGAACAAAAATACACCCATGATTTGGTGATACTACTTAACCCTGTGGTTTTTTTGCTTTTTTTTTTTTTGAGACCGGCCCCACCGTGCTCAGCCAGTGAGCGCTGTGAGCACACCGGTCATCCCTATATAGGATCCGAACCCGCGGCAGGAGCGTTGCTGTGCTCCCAGCGCCGCACTCTCCCGAGTGCACCACGGGCTCGGCCCTGCTTTTGTTTTTTTTGACCAGTAAGGGGATCGCAACCCTTGGCATGGTGTTGTCTGCACCACGATCAGCCAGTGAGCCCACCAACCATCCCTATACAGCATCCAAACCCATGGCTTAGGCACTACCAGCGCTGCACTCTCCTGAGTGAGCCACGGGGCCGGCCCAACCCTGTGTTTTTTAAGGACAATGATTTCCTTTTTAAGATCAAATAATATTTCACTTTCAATTTCCATGATTAATTTTTCCCCATTTTTAAGCAGAGCCAAGTTTTAAAACAACGTTTACAGTGTTTTTCTTATACAACTAATGGTCTGTGTTATAATAATGCAAATGTTTATATTTTTATGTTAATATTTTTGCTTGATTTTTTTTTAATTATAACTTTCATATTTAAATTGTTTTAAATCTGTAGTTTCACATTTTTATGTTTTATAAATTCTAATACACTCATATTAGACTAGCCCACAATATGAAACCAATGTTCCCAAACTTTTTTTCTGCTCTAGTATGGCAATCAAAATTAGTATAATTAGTTTAATGTCACAAAGCAAGCACAGACAGGATTAGAATCCAAGGATTCCAAAAATCAACTGCCTCATCACGGTTTCCATCAAACTCATTAGACTCTGTTTATAACGGAACACCTGAAACTGGGTAATTTATAAAGAAATAGAATTTATTTCTTACAGTTCAGAGGCTGGGAAGTCCAAAGTCCAGGGAACACATCTGGTGAGGGCCTTGTTGGTGGTGGCTCTACAGCAAAGCAGGGTATCACATGGTGAAATGGCAGGAGTGAGAGAGCAAGCTAGCTAAGCTTCTCAGTTGCTCTCCTTTTAAAGCCATTAGAACCACACCCACTATTCCATGAATGGATCAATCCATTCACCAGTACACAGTCCTCACAATCTAATCACCTCTTTAAGGTCCTGCCTTTCAATTACCATATAGAATTTCCCACCCTCTTAACAGTTAGAGTAGGGATTAAGCTTCAATGACTTTGGGGGAGGACATTCAATCCACAGCAGCTATGATTTGTAAAATACAATGGTAGGCATTATAGAGAAATCAAAAGAAAACAAAAGAAAAACAAAGGATTCAGGAAATTTATAAATTGGTAAGGAAAATAAATTGTGACCATAAATATAATACAAGGAAGACTACACATATTTTTTGTTTTCAAAGTTAGAAGTCTTTAGTGTTAAAGTATGGACAGGATTACAAAAAGTAGAGTTCATTTATTCATTCAGCAACTAGTCATTCAGCACTTTCTATGGTCCAGCCACTGAGCTAAGTAGGGGGTATAAAAGTGAATAAAATTGGTATAGTTCCCTTCTTCATGTGGAGAAACAAAGAGGTAACAAACCAATGTACAGCTGACACTTAACAATATGGGTTTGAAGTGCATGGGTCCCATTATACGTAATTTTTCTTCAATAAATATACCTACAGTACTGTAAATGTATTTTCTCTTATGATTTTCTTAATAACATTTTCTTGTCTCTAGCTTACTTTATTTAAGAATATAGTATATACTACATATAACCTACAAAAAATGTGTTAATAGACTATTTTATCAATAAGGCTTTCAGTCAACAGCAGGCTTTTAGTAGTTAAGTTGCTGGGGAGTCAATTCATATGTGGATCTTCAACCATGCAGGGAGTTGGTGCCCCTAATCCCTGCATTGTTAAAGGGTCAACTGTAATTATTCTCACTTACTGGAAAAAAGTTATTTTAAGTTGTGTTTGTCCATATGCCGTGAAAAGCAGGAAGCGTGGTCAGGTAAGGAATCACTAATTAATGAAGCCACATTCAGGCTAAGATCTTGGTGGTGAGAAATCAGCCTTCCAGAGTGTGTGTGTGTATGTGTGTGTGTGTGAGAGAGAGAGAGAGAGAGAGAGAGAGAGTGTGTGTGTGTGTGTGTGTATTTGGCGGAGGGGGGACGGATTTAAGCCTAGGGAAGCAGCATGTGTAACGATTTTAAGGCAGAAAAGTTTCTTGGCATATTTGAGAACCCCAAACACCAATGTAACTAAATCTTGCTGAGCAATCAAAAATAGCATAGATGTGACTAGAGATGTAGGCAGAGAGATGATCCCAACAGATCAAAAAAGCAGGATGTCCACAATATGATGGAGCATAAGCAAACATACTCATTTGGCTAGAGCACAAGGTTAAAGCAAAACAAATAACAGTTGCATACCTCCCTCATGTTTAAAGCTCTCAACTTAATTTTTACAACACAGTAAGAGAGATAATGTTTCCTTATTATGGATGAAGGGAGAACAGACTCATAAGGGCTTGCTAATAATAAAGTTGTACTCATAATATACCAAGTCTCAAATCCCAGACATTCTAACTCAAGTCAAATCCTTTCTACTACAAAATAAGAAGTAATGAAAAATAAGGTTAAAAAGACAAGCTGGGTTAAATGTCAGGCTAAAAAGTATAGACTATATTATGGACAAATACAAGTTACAATTAAAAAGATGATTCTGATCCCCACACTGCATACAGGATACAGGATACTTCTGCATACAGAAGTTCCTTTATGCAAAATAATTTCCATATGTTACAGGCTAGAAAATGTAGTTTTAAATTATTCCAAAATAATTTCCATATATTATACAATCATTTTTTAACTGTACTTGCTCCCCATAAGACTGAGAGAGAGAGAAAAAGAGTGTGTGTGTGTATATTGGAGCTGAGGAGAGAAGGCTAAGTACTGTGTTCAATCAGAACATACCTACTTTAATCTGTTTTATATTAGATTTAGTTTGAAAAAGAATTTTCTTGTTTGAAAAGCATAGACTATAAAGTAAGTCTTCTCTGGTTCCCAAGTCTTACTCTAAAGATCTAAAACATACTGGCAGTAAAACATCTCTTTTACCAATCATATGCCCTGTGACAACTACTTAAATAATCAGGCTAATTTCTTACCAGCTTTTCTGCTAAAAGCCAATCATATACCACAATAGTTTATTAAAGGCAATTTCAAGTAAGATTCTTGCCTCCACACTTCTACAAATAATATATACATGTCTACCATAAAGTCTGCTTGTATGTTAGCTACTTATAACATAAAAATGTAGGGTAAATATACTTAAACTACTATAAACTGTTTTTTCAATCTCTAAAAAATGAAGACTAAAAACTATATATTGATGCTCAGAAAAGCAAATATTACTAGTGAGTACTTTATAGTATCACTGGTATATATGCTTTACTTAGCTGATTCAAAAACCACTAAAGTAAGTAAAAATAATTCAACTCTACTAAATTTTTAAAAAAGAGTTTCACACTAGGGTAAGAGAGGTTCATGCACCTACTAATTACTCAAATGATCAGAATAACAGAATCTACAGGTCAGCCACATCAATCATGAATACAAAGAACTAGTTATTTGAATATGTACACATACCTTTGTCCTTCTTAAAATCCAAAGCATCTTCTTTATCTGTCACTATTTCCTTCATATTGATAATACTCTGGTGGGTAAGCTGCCGGAGAATTTTAATTTCTCGAATTGCTGTAATTGGAAAGCCTTCCTTTTCATTATCCAGACGTACTTTTTTTAAGGCTACCATTTCTCCTATTAGAAAATTAAATAAAATCAGTTTACCAGCTGACAAAAGCACACGTCATTTTTCAATTTAAAATTAATTTTAATTCACAATTTATTTAATTCATAATTTTTGTTCCTACATTTGTGGGTTGAAATTACAACCCACAAATATATTTCCGTTTCCAACATACCAAAAGATAGTATTCGCATTTCAAGAAATTAAGTCTCTCACTAAGTAAATCATGGAATATTTACACAAACCATGAAATACTATATAACTGTTAAAAAGAATGATGTAGGTCTACGTGTATTGATATTTTATGCTCTCCATTGATATACTTACTGAAAAATGCAAGATGCTGAAGAGTGGGTACATTACACTGTCATTTATATTTTTTTGGTTTTGCTTTTCCTTTTTTTGGCAGCTGGCCTGTACAAGGATCGAACCGTGGTGTTATCAGCCCCACACTCTAACCCACTGAGCTAACCGGCCAGCCCCAACCATTTGTAGTTTTAAAAGGTCAAGAAGACAAGGGTAAATAAACTCAATACACTAATATATGTGTAAAATCTCTCTGAATAGAAGAGAGAAACTTTACATTGCACAGGTGAGAAAATATGCCCAGATGTATTACTTGCCTGAAGCTGCCCACTTACCTAGTAGTGAACTGGGATTCAAGTATCTGGTTAGCTGTCTTAAAAGTATGTGTTCTTCCCCACTACACTAAATTGCCACATAATTTAGATATGAGTGAGTTTTGTATCAGACAAGACCTAAATGGTAAATAAAACATGTATCTGCAAAGCCTACTGTAAAAAAAAAAAAATCACGATAATAAAGGTTTGTTCATTCCACTTCTTTGGAGAAAAAAAGAATTCTGTTCTTACAAATTTTCTAAAAGAAGGACGTTTATCTTTTTAATCATTAAAACTTATTTTATTCATTTTTATATGTCTTCCTATAATGAAATATGATTCTTTGTTGTATTAAACAGTTTTTAAAACTTAAAATTTAATCTCTTTTTGATAATACATCATTATAAATCAATTACTACTCTATGTAGTAATTGCCTTCAGGAGTTTCTAACCATAAAGTTGATTCCCCTATATTAAATGGCCTCAATTATCTGTGCTATTTTAATCTTGGTATATTTCAACAAGAAATTAGGAGTAATAAGTACATATTATTTAGTAAAGAGTATGCATTATTTAGTAAAATGCACAGTTTATGACACAGCTACTTTTTCCTCTCCTATGAGGCCTTTTACAACTTTGTTCCAGGTTCCTGACTATGTTCTGAGAGATTAAACTGCTAAATCTGGCCTCCAAGGGCAGTTTCTACAGAAAAAAAGGTGGGTTTTTTTTGGTTAAAACAAAAGTGTTGTGCTTAATACAAAAACAATTTACTACTAAAACTAATTCAGGTCAAGATACTTTTATCCCTTATTACTAAAAGTGTAAAAATATTTACCAAAATAGAAAACAAACAAACAAAACTCTAAATCTCAACATACAGCATATCACAAATACCAAAGGACCACTTTTAAAAAATCATGTATACAAACCCACTTACATGTACTCATATCTTACACATAAGTGCATATAAAGAATAAAATTAAAATCAAAATGAATTACAAAAGCACAATAAATTTAACTTTCTAAAAAATTCCTAAAGCCATACTTTAGAAGAAAAACACAAATTAAGTACATTCCATAGACCCAAAGATCCCCAGAACTTCGCATTCTTACCAGTGTCTTTATCCCTGGCCTTGTAAACTTGTCCATAAGTACCTTCTCCAATAATGCCGATGATATCAAATTTATCCACGCAGCGTTTTCCCCAGTCAATATCTTTCTCTTTGATTTCACCATAGCGAGGCCCACATATTCTATCAAATATAGTTCTTAAGTTTTTACATACAATCAAGCAAATTGAATAAACTGTTTAATAACTCAATATCCACCCTCCACCTAACCTGATATTCTTTATTTTCCCATATTCTTCAGTATTTGTGATCATCTACTCAAAACAAGTAACACAGTGCTTTGGTATTACAAGTTATCATAAAAGTCAAGGTATCATTTCTACATACTGATTCTCCTTTTGTAGACGAGTACTTAAACTGGGAAAAAGAAGTAGTAGAGCTTGTATGAAGGGCTTTCAGAAATAAAACCTTATTTTTCAACCAACACTAGGAGGAAGAGTCACAGTTTTCTAACCGACTTCCAGAAAGTTTTGTTTTTTTCATATATATCTGCTTTTAAAAAACAAGAGTTTGATAACAAATGTTAACAAGAATCTAACTACAAAACGTACTGGCAAGTTTAGACTTAGGGCTGAATGAAATCATCTTAAAAACACCAGAAAAATTTTCAGTCTAAAAAAGTACAAAAAGTATTAATATAATTAACTCTTGGGAATCCACACTTAAGTAAACAGATAAATAAATATAACAAAATTTTAACATTCTTTAAAAGAGGTGTAATTTTCTAATATTTTAATATTCTAGTAGATCCCATAAATTCAAATAAAAGGATAAGCTATAGTACTCAAGAAGAGACTATTATTAAAGTTTCCTAGCTTTCTACTCCATACTAGAAAATGAACTCATGCTCTTACATGAGGCACTTCCCAAAAAGAATTCTAAAATCGGATCTAACTTGAAGTCTTACTCATACTTTCCCTTGGTTAAATAGAAGGTGAAAATAAATAAACTAATAAAAAGGCATCAACGTTTTCCCCCCGTAACAGATGAACAGGTTTCAAGGGAAAGTTTTCTCTCTAGCACTTACTTGAAGCTAATTTAGGATACAGATTTCAAACGTTCTTCCACTCCATATCTTGCAAAATGAAGAATGCATTTAGTTATGGGGGGAAATGGAGCTAAAAGCAGAGGAAAACAGAGCAACTTTCCCATTACTTTGTTTGGGCTCACTGAATGCTGACTTGCACCTCGTCCGATTTCAGTGTTTCTGTGCTTTTCAAACACGTTAATTATAGAAACTATGTTTAACACATACAATACCCCAAGAAATTAATACGTTGCAAGCTGTGAGAGAAAATTAAATTTGGCTTTATTAGTTATTGTAAATAAGTATGCAAGCAATTATGAAATTTTTTTCAAAACTCTAATAGAATTTATTAATATATTTAAGTTAAAAGAATAAATACACTTTTTATTTTATAGCTTAATTTTGTGTTTTATGAATTTATGACGATCCGAAATAATTTCTGGTAAATTTAAGAGCAGGTAGAAAGCAAGCACATACTTAGGCCTCCTTTTATTATGTAACTGTGTTGCTGTTTTCTTTTCCTCTGGGCTCTTTGAGAGATCATCTCCTCCTGGTAGCTCAGGGGGCAGTGGTAAATCAGCAAGTAAACACCGGAGTTTCTTTTCTACTTCTTTTTTAACTGCTTTTACTGAAATATTTCCTCGCAAGCTAAAAATGAAAGGAAACAGACAAATGAACAAAATATAAAAATTTGGTTGAGCAATAAAAATGTGCCCATGCCTTACATCTAAGTAGTATGCAATGGCTCTGAATATTCCATATTATTTCACGTTGCAAGACATTAGTGTGAGTTTCTTTACTTTCCAGCTAAGGTAATATCACCATATTCAACAGCAAAATTCAAAATTAGGGAGTAAAAATAGTACAGAATTAGGTTAAAAGCAAGGAAATCTGTACTAAATATGAAAAATACTGTTTTACTAATAACGTATCAATATTGGTTCCTTAATTTTAACAAACATACCATACTAATGTAAGTTATTACTAATGAAAAAACTGGGTGCAGGATAAATAGGGACTATATAGTACCTTTGTAATTTTTCAGTAAATCTATGGCTGTTCTAAAAAATAAAGCTTATTTTTTAAAATGATAAAAAATTAACTATCAAACTATAAATTAAAATTAAAAATCAACTAATAATGCTTTGCAGGAAAATATTAGTTTTGGAATAGCACTTAAATTTGATTCTGATGGAGAGACAAAAGATGTTTTACTATAAGAAAGAAAGAAAACGACATGCTATTATTTATTTTGCCCATTTAAATAACCACAAACTAATTCACTTTTGCCTTTTTCAGGGTTAATTAATTTTTCTAAATTGAATAGTGATTCCTCTAACTTTTTTTTTAAGACTCCAGCTTACTAGAATTATAGATGAAATTTAAGCTCAGTTACTTTTGTACTTCTTATGAATAAATAAAGAGCTCTGATTTTTAAAGTATACCTTAACTTGGTAATTGATTAAACCTTGCAGATACTATAAGATCTGTTACCTAATAATATGAGATGCTGAAAGAGAATCTTATAATGAAGATAAAACTTGGACTTCACATACTTTCATAGCAATGAGTCCCATAATGAAAAAATTTAGTGAGACTACACTGCTGTGATCAGAAATTACTAAACATGTTAGAAATGTAAATCATTTAATTATCACTTCTCCTTCTATTCATGTTGAATGATAATATTATTGTAAAAGAAATGGATCCTTTAATATCATCTGATAAAAACTATTTATCAGTAACCATAGTGAAATTGTGCCTTTTCTTCATAACCCTGTGTTACTTGATATAAGGTTCTTTAACAGAGGAAACATGCTCAAAAAGTATATAATGTATCACACAGCCCACTTTCAATTTTAGTGTCCCTCCAGTCAACAAATACTGATTGCAAGCTACTACGCACTAGATATTACACAAGGCATTGGAAGCCCAACAACAATAACAAATACATTAAGCTACAATTCCTTTCAGAAAGGAGCTCATAGTCTGGAAGACACAGTCCCACTGTGTAGCAGAATAAAGTACTGAGGTAGGAGGTGGTGCTCTGTTTCCCTGGGTTCTGGTTTCAGGACACACCTCTGGGTTTCAAGCCACTCCCCAAGGTCTCAGTCCCTTCTACTAGGCCCCCCCACCCCCCTGCCAAGAAAAGTTACTGCTGCTTATTGGACCTATTTTTGGTATCAACACTGGGAAATTGAGACCTCAGGGGGCAGACTTATGCAAATCCAGTGACTGGGCATGCTCAACAGAAAGGGGTTATATAACCCTAGCAGCTATGCAGGCTCAGTAAAGTGTAGTTTATCCTTCCAGTAGAGGTACTAAAGAACACAGAGTATTTTTGAATGTTTGGTGCATGTGATAGAATTTGACCAATGGCCAATAAACTGCCCTAAGAGACCAACTGAGCATGTGCGAGACTATATTATATAACTGGGAATCCCCACCCCCCCTTAAATGAATATTCATTAGATAAAGTGAATATGTATTAGATAGCAAAAGTATAAAAGTGGAATCCTGGTAGGAGGAAGTTGGTGTATACTTTTGCTGGGGCCAACCCGTACTTCGCTGGAGAGGTGTGTATGCCTTACTTTTGTGTTAAGCTTACCTTTATTTAGCAAGTGGCTGCTCACTCTTTTGAGCCAGCCTGCACTCTGTACTAAACTTTAAGTGTGTATTTCTTAACTTTTGTATTAAACTTGGAATGGGTCCTGCTCAGACTCTGGAACTAGGCTGCACTCTCTCTGTGAAATCTTTATCTCTTGTTCGTTACATTAAACCTGTTCTCACTTTCTACTGTGTCTCTGCTCCTGAATTCTTTCCTATGACAGAGTCAACAACCTCCTAAGAGGATGGGGTGGGTTGAGGCTAGCTATCAGGTCTCCCCAGACCCTCTCTCTTCTCCAGTATCTGTACTATACAAACATATTCCCAGGGTAATATAGTAGCTAAAAGGGAGCTAAATTAGGTTTGAAAATATAGTAAAGGTTTCTTTTTTTAAAAGGTACCACTTGATGGGCCGGCCCGGTGGCGCACTGGATAGTGCGCCGCTTGGGAAGCGCAGCGGCGCTCCCGCCCGAGGGTTCGGATCCCACATACAGACCGGTTCCCGCTCACTGGCTGAGCGAGGCGCGGGAGCAACACCGAGGGTTGCAATCCCATTGCCGGTCCCCGGTCCAGTACGGGGGCAACACTGAGGGTTGCGATCCGTTGCCGGACACGGAAAAAGACAAAAGACAAAAAATAAAAAAATAAAAAAATAAAAAAATAAAAAATAAAAGGTACCACTTGAACACTGTCTGAAAATAAGCCTATTTAAAAATAATTTATTTGGAAAACTGCAGTCCCTAACTTGTAATTAGGCCTTAGTCAAAAATTCTCATTTGTCTGAAGATTCTAAACAATGTTTTTTGGGGTAAAAAATTAAAAGTCTTCACTTCACTTATAATTTAAAATTTAAAAGGTTACCTACATTCAAATTTATCTTCATTTGAACTTTACAAGAATAACATTATATAATTAAAAACATTACATTTTTACTGAATAATTGCAATAACCAAATAGAAAATGTGATTTAAGGGCTGGCAGGTTAGCTCAGCTGGTTAGAACATGGTGCTGGTAACACCAAGGTCAAAGGTTTGGACCCCCTTACCAGCCAGCTGCAAAAAAAGAAACAAAAGTCTAAAAATAAAAAACAAAATGTGATTTTAAAAGTTTCCATCCACTATAGCAGCAAAAACAATAAAACATTTTAAGAAGAAATGTACAAGACCAATAGAAAAAAAATAAATAAGGGCCGGCCCCGTCGCTCACTCGGGAGAGTGCAGCACTGGTAGCTGCGGAGGCCGCGCGGGTTCGGATCCTATATAGGGATGGCCAGTGCGCTCGCTGGCTGAGCGTGGTGCAGACCACACCATGCCGAGGGTTGCAATCCCCTTACTGGTAAAAAAATAAAAATAAAAATAAATAAAATAAAACATTTGACTGAAGAATGTAAAACTAGATCTAGAAGAATGTAAAACTAGATCTAGATCTAGAAAAAAACAGGTTTTTGTATGGGAAACTAATACCATAAAGTTGCCTGTCTCCAAATTACTCTGTTACATTTAATAGAGTCCTAAACAAAAACCAAGCATTTTTTAAATGCGACTTTGCAATCGGATGATAAAATTTCTGAAAAAATAATCATGTGGGATTTGCCCTGTCAAATGGTCAACCTATTTAAAGAGATCCCAAACTAGAGGCCAAAGGCTGGTTAAAATCAGAGAACATGTATTATTTGGTCTATCCAATGTTCTGTAAAGAACTACGAATTAACTGTCAATATTTTTAAATCAGAAGATTTACATAAATATTCAGATTCCAGACTTCTTTTTTAAAAAAGCAAAAGTTCTAGCAACACTGGGCTCAAACTCTTGTACAGCAGCATTAAAGTTGAGGGTGAACAGCAGGGGTGTTCACTAATCACTAATTTACTCCATCCCCTTCACTCTATAAAGGATAATTGAGTTTGAGGCCCAATATACCACGTATGTAAAGACATTAAAACAGTAAGGTACCAGCAAAGAAATAACACATGTCAAAAGAAAAGAAAGTACAGAAACACACAGATATCCATTAGAATTTTTATCTGTGGCATTTCAAATTAGTGAGATGGATTACTCAGTAAATGGTATTGATAACACCAGGTGAGGAGGGGAATGGAGAATTAGACCAACTTCTTCCTTCTTCACACAATAACCAGAAACAAATTTCTGTGAGACTTGAGTTAACCTTTTTTAACTTTATGAACCTAGAAGTTTAAAGGAAAAAGAATGATAGATTTGACTACATAAAAATGGAAAACATCCATACAACCAAAAACAAAACCAATGTCAAAGGCAAGACACAGACTCTGGGAGGCAAAGATCCCTAAGACTAAAAATCAATTAGAAAAAGGGAAACAACCTTTAGGAAAAGCCAGCATATACTATGAATAAGAAATTCACTGAAAATAAATACATACATACATAGATGTTTAGAAAGGTACTATACCTCATTAATAATCAGAAAAATACAAAATTAAACAATTATTAAAGACTGTCGAAATTCAAAATCGACAATATCCAATATTATTAAAGCAATCTCATTCATCTGGGTGTATAAATTGGTATACAACCTTATTAAGACACAACTTGGCATTTTCTATCAAATTTTTTAATGTGCATACTTTGAAGTACAACTACCCTACAAAAATTAGTTATATGTGCATAAAATATTAATATATAAGGAGAATTTAATAGCAAAGAATTATAAACCTAAGTATCCATTAATCAACAGCAGAAAAATATGATGTATCCATTTTTATAAATAAGAATATTGGGCCTATCTATACCAACATGAACAGATCTCCAACACATTAGGTGAAAAATGCAAGTCAAGGAACATTATGTATGGTATGATCCTAATTGTTTAAGAAAGAGAAAACGATTATATGAAAACTCATAGATAGTCTATCTTATGTTTTGGGGGGAAACAGACTTCATTTCTGGAAGAGAAGCAAAATTTGAAGTGAGCCTCAGATTTATTATTTGGCTAGGATGCAAGGAAGCACTAAAAAAATGAGGTCATATCAAAAGGATTAAGGAGTCAGTTTAAAGCAGCTTCTACTTGCCAAATTTCGGAAAATTCAAGCATCAAAAAGAATAGTGACTGTAACTAATAGTAACAGAGAATAAATAAAAACCTATAAGAACAGAATGACTAACTTGGGTGGGGGGAAGTGTCTTATTTACAAAAGAGGGCCAGCTAATAATAAAAGGAATGACAGAATTAGAAAATCGTCCTTTGTAGCCCCTAATGTAATAATTGATTTAGACAAAAATCATTAATGGTGCTAAATGATTAGGTTGTTGGAGAAAAGGATATTCAAACACCGCCAAAGTATTAACTTACAGCTTAGTTCTAGTTCTAACTGCAAAGGGGAAAATGCACCCTTCTATATGGAGAGATCTTAAAGTCGGTCATCACCTTAACCAAGTGATTGCATCACTACTACCAGAGTAAGAATATATTTTGTTCCTCCTCCAGCAACCGCATGAAATATGTATATAAAATCACCTCTTAAATATTCTGGCTAGAAACGGTTTATTCTTAATCTAAACAAAGCACAACTAATTTCCAGTTTATGAGAAATGAAATGGTTAGAGAAGAACAAATTAAATGACACCAAAAAGAAACAATCAGACAAACTGAGAGGTGGGACATTCTGTACTACAACTGGCCTGGATTCTTCAAAATGTCATTGGGGGGAGAGGGATCAGCAAATTTGGTTACAGATAGATAGACAGATAGATATCACTGTTAATTTCAATTCTACTGTTAAGTATTGTTAATTTCCTTAGGTATGATAATGGTATTATGATTAAGCAAGAAATTGACCCTATCCATGGGAGATGACTGAAGTATTAGAGTCAAGTGTCATGATGGCTACAACTTACTTTCAATTGATACAGCAAAAAGAAGTGTATACACACACACCACACCTTTTTAGTTCTCTTAAATAACCAGAGAGAGAACATGAGCATATATAGCAAAATGTTAACATTGCTGAATCTAGATGTAGGTTATATAAATGTTAATGTTATTATTCTTTCAACTTTTCTAAATGCCTGAATACTTTCAAAATAAAAAATATATGAGATAGGGGGAGAATTTACTTGGTCATATAACAACATAAAAGGGTAAAAACTCCTGGAGTACAGATTTGCAAAATCAAGAGGCCACACAAAAACATACAAACTCTTCTGCTAATTTATTTGGGAATACAATAGTGAGAGTTAACCAGGAGTGAGTAAAAGGCATGCTTAAAGAAAGCAATGATTAAAAGCTTTCCTCAGACAATCTTAAGACATGGCTAAAAAGATTATGCAGACCATTACTCTTCTTTAAAATGATCTTTAAATGATCTTTAAATTTACCATGAATAACAAGTACATAAAGACACCTTCTGTGTTCAGGTTTCCTAAAGCATGTTGTAACATACAGATTTCTTCTTTACATCAAGAGAAATAGTTTACAAACATTTTCAACTAACAGATGTTGAGCACAAAATAAAAAGTATATAATGGTTACTAACCTCCCCCCCCACCAAAAAAACAATCTTTAAACACGAAATTACCATGTCCATTATCTTTTGGGTACATGAAAGAAAAAAACAAACAAAAAAACTGGGGCAGCAGTGGTTCCTCATTATAAAACGGGGGTACCAATCAATAGTTCCTCTTTTACAAAAAACAATTCTTTTCAAACAAAACACTAGATCTATTACACTATGTTGCACAATATAATAACCATATTTTGTCATTTTTCAATAAAAGCACCACTAAAGTAGTTTTTATTTCCTGTAGTCCTGATTTATATTAAGATTAACAAACATAATATTTGAGATGCACAGTACCTCATAGTTTGCAAAATTCTGTCTATCAACTCATTTAATCCTCACAACTACTCTGTGAGGTTAAATAAGGTAAATATTTTCACACTTGGACAGAAGTAAATGAACTGAGGCACAGAAAGATGAAGTCATAAGAGTAGCTAGAGGTACAAATGGGACTAACAACTAAACCTTCTACTGTAGCCCACTGACAAATTTTTTTATTAGACTTCTTAACAGACAATATATTCCTTCAACCCCCATTTATTTCCAAAGTAATCACTTTTAACCATTTCTTTTTCACAATACATTTTCATTTAATCGCCTGAAACTCTTTTAAAAAATAAAAAAGGTATCTCTTCCTCATACACTTAAATTTGAGTAGTTAAATTACAGCCATTGAAATAAGGAAAGTTCCATTGGTGCTGAATCAATCTTTGACCACACAGACATATTAGCAGTGGTACTCATGAATTTTACGTAACTCCCACATTCACGAAACATACAAACACATTCAAATAAAGAGCAGAGATATTACAAAAGAGAAAAAGAAGAGACAGAAAAGATATGTCAAAAAAATTTTTTTAATGACCAAGAAAAAAATGTGTCACACCTCATTAAAGACAGACGCATAAACAATATCCTCCTTAAGCATTCACACAGGTACATCCAGAGTTCCTGAAAATATTCCTAGCAAATTTTTACCCCTAAAACATATATGAAGAATAAATTAGAGAATCACCATCTCACTGAAACCTGGATTCTCAGTAACTGGTTACTTTCTTACTAGTGAAATAACTCGATTTTGTGCTCAAACCTCTATTTGCTGGATAGCCCATTCCAGGACTCATCAAAATTATAAATCACTACTCTCATGAACCTTCAGTGTTCCTGGAAAACAGCCAAATCTACGAATACTACCATTAGAGTAGTATAAGTAGATAACATCTGATTAAATGGGATGGAGTCTCCCAGCAACTTTTGATTGTAGGAAAAAAGCACCTCAGAAGGTATGAAACACAAGAATTGTGTTTTAGCTTTCATTTAATTTTATTTCATTTTATTTTGTTCTTTCCTGCTGGCTGGTACAGGGATCAAACGCCAGACCTAGGTGCTATAAGCACCACACTTTAACCAACTGAACTTACCAGCTAGCGAGCTTTTGTTTTAAATTATAAAATTTTCATATGCTAGCCAAAGTGAGCACTTTAAATACATGGCCACATGGCATTTTTTGCCATCTGTTTACAAATACTATAAAGAAAGTCAGCCAGGAAAACTGTCCATAAAGTTTCTTTTTAATACAAAGTTGTTGGGGGTGGGGGAGAGAGGGACAGCTCTAATTTCTTCATTAAAAAATAAAAATGGTGAAGTGGTATAACAGGCAGATAAATCATACAACAGCATAATTCTTCTACCCTAGGATACTTGTAAGAAACAATCTTAGCTGCATTTACTTTATAGTCACTCTTACCTTCATCCTCTTAAGAATAGAATAAAAAACAAGCCATGTCCCCAATAATCATAATAGAAATTATTAAAGATGTTAAAGGAAAGCATAATCACATTATGAATCTCCTGTAATATGATGTGATTAATCCCTAACTGCAAGCAAGGCTAAAAAAATTTAAGATGGTTAGGAAAAAACTCAACTAAAAAGTGATAAATTCATAAAGCCACTGAAAGTGATAAATTCATAAAGCCACTGAAGAAACTTAGAAATAAATGAGACGCATGCTTACGACATTTATATCGCCCAGGGCAGACTGTCTCATAAAATGTCCTGTCTCTGATAGCATCATCAAGGAAAACTAAGCCGGAGAGGATGCTGGCATTTCTAATACCCAAACTCATCCTGAAATATATATTGTATCCCAAGACAATGGCAAATTTTTCCTGAATTTCTTAGCATAAAGTGTAATTTTGTCATCCTATAAACAATGTCCTTCATTTTAAGATGTGCATAATAAAGAGAATTCATTCACTTACTTACAGTCTTTTTTACTAAAGTTTTTTCTGGGGGTTTGGGGGAGGTCAAATCATTTTTCAATGATTTCTCAACTGCAAACTTGCATTTTTTTCTTGAAACATTTATTGCAAAAAATTTTTGCACTTACCTATCAGCATCTTTATCCTCAGGCAGCATGGGAGGCAAAGGTAATGGTGGTAATGTAGAGGTCACCATAGCCACATGTTGCTCCTTCTCCTTGGCTCCTATGTTTGGTGTAAGTGGTTTAGTTTTCTCTTTAAGAGATACTGGTTCCTCCTTTGTAGCAGCAGGTTTACTCTCCTTCCCAACTACAACTGCTTTCTTGGTGGCTTTATCTACAACAGAATTATTGTCCACCTTTGTTACTTGAAGAGGTGGCTTTGGTTTTGCCTTGTCATTTTTTACAGTTCCACCACTTGAGGGAGAAGGTGCGTGCTCAATTTTAAGTTTCTTCACATCCTTCACATGGTTTGTCTGTGATGCACTGGCACCAGTTTCTGTGTTACCCTTGGTAGGTGTAGAAGTGTTTGAGGCTTTTGCAGCTTTGGCAGCAGCTTCAGCAGCCTTAGCTGCCTCTGCAGCTTTCGCTGCTTCTGCCGCTCTTGCTGCCTCTGCAGCTCGTGCTTTTTTATTCTTGTTCAATTCAGCTGCCAGGCTACTCTTCAGAGTAAGTGTGCTAGGAGAAATGCTAGAATGACGACTCCTAGATCTAGATAATCTGTGCCTGCTACGAGATCTTGAATGCCTAGATGAATATGGACTTCTGCTTCGGGATTTGGCAGACCGTCTGGTGGAAAATAATTAAGATTTAGTCAGTAATTCAGAAAGGTTCAGTTTGGAATTTACAAAGACAGAGCTAACTTGAGTATGTGAAATGAAACAGAAATTTACTTAATTTCAAAACTATAATATAGTTTTTGGGGGGGAGTTTTCAAAACAAAAAGTGCCTTAAAGTAGAATATTATCTGGTGGCTACAGTTTTCTTGAAAATATGAGGGTACTTCCAAAAAGTTCACGGAAAGACTCATATTATCTTTCAATTCTATTTTCCCACAAACTTTGAAATACCCACATAGACTGTCTTGATCTTGCTCAAGGGTGAAAAGATCAAGCTGAATGAAAGCACACCTCAGTAAGAAGAAAGCAGGGGGCATGGCTGTTGTCTCAGAAAATAGACACAGGCAATAAGTATACACCAATAGTAGCAGAAGCAAAGTCTGACCAATCTTTTACCAAGGAGACAGTTTCTACATCTCGAAAGTACCCTCAATCGTAAGTTCAGGAGTAAGCAGTTCTCTGTCTATAGCAAGAGTAAAAAGGACAAAATCCACCACTAGGCAATAAACAAAAAGTTTCTAAGGGTTCATTTCAGAGAGTTTTAAAAAAATTTATATTCACACATATTGACTAAAATACATATAAGCATAATCATTTCAGTCACATAAGCACACACACACAAGACAATGTTTTAAATAAAAGAAAGAAAATACAATAAAGTAAAAACCATACAACCATTCTCAACCTGACACTCTACTGATACTTTTAAAAACGAACAATAGTAAAAAAGTTAATATACATATCATTTAATTCTTCAAAGTGCTTGACAACTATTACTTTATTTAACCATAATAGAATCAAACATTTACCAGGTAAGTACTACTCCAATTTTTCAGAAAGGAAAATGGAACTCCCAGAAAGAGCTTTGCCACAAATAGTGGTACAGTCTGAAATGGAACTTAGGTTTCCAGGCTCCTAGCTCTATAAAATTATAAGAAATTAAATCTTGTAAACTACTTAATAATTGTGCAATTCACTTTTCAAAAATTATTGGAAAACACAAAAATTAAACATGTTTAAAAGTGTGGTGGCAACCAAAGTTCCTACAAAACAAATGTAGCACAGCACCAAGTGAATTGAGATTTTCAAATCCACACCTTATTGAAACTTTAAAAATACAGAACACTCACAAGACAAAGACACTATGATAGTATTTTCGCATTATCTCATTTAATGCCCACATTAACCCAGCAAAGTATGTACAGTTAACAGATAAAAAATTGAGTCTAGGCTGCCTAAAATATTGTTACCTGAAGTCAATCCCCCACTCACGGAGTTGTGTTGGTTATTATCTTATTGCCACTACCTTATCCTCTAAATATTCTTCTGCCCTACTCTATGCCCAAGGACACTGACCCCAACAAATGTACCTTGTGGGTTCCAATGCTGTCTGCCACTGGCAGAAGATCAGAAGGCAGATAAAGGCTGGATTATTTCTTGCCAGCTCCCGCCTTTCTCTTGGCCACATTTTGTTGCAGCAGCTATGTCCCTCCACCACCGTTGCTCCTGTCAGGCATCCTCTTCTCCATAGACTCTCACCAGGCTCCAATAGCACTATATTTTTCTTTCTTGTCCTTTTGGGCTTTGCTGTTACTAGTGAAAACATCCCTTGTGGGTTCCCTTAATCCACCCGACCTCTGCCATTTCTTCATTAACATCTCTTGAACCACCTGGATTTCATTTTTTTCCTAGAATCTTGACTGATCTAGTTTTATGCCAGATCTTAAACCCAGATCTTTTGACTCTAAAGTAGGTAGGTTAACACAATTAACACACTGCCA